CCCCCTCTTTCCCTGGGTTGTACCTTTACCTTTCTCCTTGTAAATAAATCCATTATTGACCCTTTTTGTGTGTGTCCATAGTACGATTGAATCTTAAGCGTGCAGGTGAGGACCCATAGACAGGCAACCAAGTTCGCATTGGGGTCCCCTGTAACAGATACATTTCCTCTTTGGAGTCATTCTTATTTTGCCTCCAACTTGAATATCACACGATAATTTTGGTAATAGTGTTATCAGAGAATAAGGTGTTATATCTAAATTAATGAACGGTTAATTTAAAAACTGTTGTGAATTACTGGCTATTTCATTTATATTTGTGGTAGCTAGCTAAGGAGGGGTGACCGCTCACCTGCAAACTGCTGTGGGTAGTTAACATTCACTATTTTAACACTGCCACTCATTACTGTACTGCCTACTCATTACTGTAGAGACTGAACATGAAGCCAAATGCAACCAGTTATTTCATCTTTTATAACAAAATGTTCTTAGAGTCAATTTGTTCAGTGGTGAAAATGCTTATGGTGAAAATACTTGGCTGCATAGAACTTCAAGGGAAAGAAACTACCTAGAAGCATTAATAATACAAGGGTAATGGCGCCTATGATTTTCTCATTTGTGAGTTCATTTATTAGCTTTCTGTAGAGCCCTTGCCTCATTCATGAACAAGTGTTACTTGAAGATACATTTAGAAAAAAATGTTATGTCCTCATTTTATACTTTAAAACTAGCCATCTTTAAGAGGCATGATTTCAGATATAAATTTAATTAGAGTAACACAAGGAGTCAAACAGTAGATTTATGTAGGAAGTTTTAAGTGTTCATTTAAGTGAAAGAAGTGCTTCAGCCACTCAGATAAATAACAGGTCTTGTTTTCTTCATTCTGTTTCTCTTTCTCTCACCTAGATAATACATCCTTCAATTTTAGGCAAAATTATACTTAAGATTTTAGTTTTAAGATTTAAAAACTATCAGTTGCTATTTATTGATTTAACGTAATTTATTTATGTATCTTTCACATCTTAATGAAAGATTTAAAAACTATCAGTTGCTATTTGTTGATTTAACATAATTTATTTATGTATCTTTTCACTTCTTTCACTTTTGTACAATGTTGTTTGCTTTCTCCTTTCAGGTGTAGTCCCCATAGAATTCCCACCACCAGTTCACCTTATAATTCAGGTGCTATTTTAAAAGAATTCTGACAGGTAAATGTTCTAGCCACCTAGTGCCCAATTCAGAATGGAACAATTCTTTAAGTTCGTTTAGTTAGTTAACAATTCTTTAAGTTAAGTTTTATATTTAACTAACTTAAATATAAAACTTACTTCCCTTGTTTTATATTTTAATGTAAATAACATTCACCATCTTTTCTTTTGATTGTTCTAATGCAAAGGTTTTCTTTTTCTCGCTCAAAGACTGAACTAGGCATTGGCAGGAACAATTTTCTTATTCCCTTCTGTATCCTCAGTTGAAGTACCATGTTCATGTTGAAAGGCAAAAATTTGTTGAAGGAAAATTTAGAATGATCTATTTATGTGAACACCCTAGAAGTGACATCCAGTCAGATACCCATCTAACAACTGTGTGATCTCCATTTCTATTTTATCAGATTGAGTTGGAAGGAGACCAACTGCTTCAACCTTATTTAATAAGTGAGAAAATGGACATTTTAAACAATTTGCTAAAGGCCCTTGTCCTCAGTCTGTCTCTGTAGCTCCACTGCAATGCTCCTGCTTCGTGTAGGCCTGTTTTTACAGACCGGTCTCCAGTGCAGGGCTGGGTCTTAGGAGCTCAGAGTGGGTGTGGGCCTAAGTCAAAGGCCTAGGGCCTCTGGGGAGAAGCTTTTCTCTTTTTTTGTGGATTGTAACTGCTGCTAATCGGTTTTTTCCCTCAGGGGTTTTGGCTTTGTTTTGCATCTTTTTGTTGTGCTTATCTAGGGGAGGAGAGAGTAGCTCTTTACACTGCTGCCTTGCTGTCTTTTAAACCTAATTGTTAACTTGGTTTTCAAGGGGAAGAAAATTAGAAAACAAATAGGTAATAACTTTAAAATCCCATAGAAATTTCTGTTAAGACTGTATCTAAATACACAGTTCTATCATCTATACTCCCACACTTATATATTTATACATCCTGTGTTTAAAAATGCTGTTAGTATGTGAATAATGATGCTTACATACAAAATTCGGGATATCCTTAATTATAAATATAATATTTGATATTTTTGTCTTTGACTTGGATTTATATTTACATCTGAGGGGCAAACTTGTGAATTTATTAGTTCTAATCACTTAGCTACAGGTCACTTTTAAGTTGTGTGTGTGTTTGTGTGTGTAATCATATCTGCATTAGAATAGTCTCATTTTTTGCTTGCCATTATCAATTATTTCTTTATCTTGTATTACTAAACTGAATAGATCCTTCAGTGGAATTTTTATAGAAATGTTGATTTCAGGCATTCTTATCATTAACTTTAAAGAAAATATAATACTTTTAGTATTTTCCCTTTTTTTGTATGAGACTTTTTGCAGGTTTTCTTGCAGTTTAAGGAAGTCCTCTTCAAGTCATAGTTTGCTCCAGGTTATTATTTTATCATGAATGAATGTTGAATTATATCAAATGCTTTTCTGCCATTATTAAAACCAAATGATTTTTCTCCTTTAATCTGTTGTGCATGGGGCTTAACAGTTCATTCTCCTGTTCTGTTGAATTGACCTTTGTTTCACTCTAGTTTAATTTACCTAGTAATCTGATAGTGTAGTATGTCAATTATGTTAACAGGCAAACTTGCTTACAGTAAAAATGAACCCAAACCCTGACTGGCAAATTGGATTGAATTGGGAGGAACTATAATTAAACCATAAAGCACAAATAACAGAGCCATAGCTTTGGGCTTTCCTGAGTGTATGACTCTCATAACTAGGCATGCCATCTATGAAGAATTTGGGAGTTATTCCTATAGTTGTTACAAGAGATATTTCTATGGAGCTGCAAATTTTAAACTGGAGTGTCTTCACCTACCTAACATATTTGTCTCCTGGCAGGTGTTTTCTAGAGAAACCTAGAAAATAGCTCTTACATGGCTTTGTGAATTGCTGTGAGACTGCTACCAATTAAAAAGTCTGACATTGTCCTAAAATCTGGTCTGATCTGTATCTTCTGAATAGATTGGTGCCACAAAAGCTGTGGTACTCCTAGGAGTCTAAATATTTAGCACTGAACACTCCTTAGTTTATATTGTAGATCAATAAATGCAGTGAGGTGTGACATTGACACTCTAATGTTAAATCAATCATGAATTTCTTGACCATACCCTATTTTGTTTGCTAAATTTTGCTTATTTGCTTAGGGTTTTGCCTCTGTGTTTACAAATGAAATGGGATTGGTGATTTTCCTAGATTCTGTTGTCTGCTCAATTGTGATATTAAGGTTATATTAATTTCATACAAAGAATTGTTGAGTGCAACTTCTTTGTTTATATTCTGGAACAGTTTGTATTAGATTGGCAGTATTTGTCCCATGTTTAGAAAACCTTCCAAATAAACTATGTGAGCATGTAATTTTATTTGAAGAAAAATTTTAATTGCTGATTGAATTTTACTAATGGTTATGGAACTGTTTAGGTATTCTATTTCTACTTAAGTCTGAGTTAATGAGTTCCCTCTTTGCCAAGGAATTTTTCTGCATCATCTAAGTTTTTAACTCCATTAGCATCAAATGGTTCATAAGATTTGCTAACACCTGTAGTAAGGTCCCCCTTTAATTCCTAAGTTGTTTCCTTATCTTTGTTATGTTTGTTTCTTTGTTCTTGCATAATATTCTCAGAGTTCTGTCCATTATATTCATGATTTTTAGAGAACCAGTTTTGGGCTTTATTAATTTTTTCTATTTATGATAATTACTTAATTTCTGCTCTTATGTTTATTTCCTCCTACCTTTAAAAAGTTTATTCTGGGGAACGCCCTGGTGGCACAGGGGTTTAAAAACAGTGATATCAAACTATGGCCAGCCACTGCAGCAAGAGTTCAGTACTCACCAGCCAGGGAGCTGACCTACATAGAATAGCAGACCTCTTCTGTCTCACCTGATGCTCCCCTCAGCAGTGTACTTCATTGATCTGCCTATTCTGCTCCCAACTCTGTCCCTAGTGAATCCTCTCACCACCCCCCACCTCCCAGACCTCTGGCCTATACCCTAGCTCTTGTATGCATAAATAAATAAATCTTTTTTTAAAAAAGTTCATTCTATAATATGTTTACAAACTTCCTAATTTGTATCATTCACAAATTACTTTTTACCCTTTCTTTTACAATGTGAACATTAAAAGTTTAAGTGTTTAAATGCTAGTTAAAGCTACATTCACATATTTTAAAATTTGCCATTTTTATTCAGTCTTTGACATTGTTCTCTTTCCTATTATAACTTAGAGTTCTTTCACAATTTCCCCACTACTGTGGAAACAGAGTTTTTAGACAATGACAGAATAGTTGATTCAACCTGATCCAGTTTACCGAGGAAGAACAGGATAGAGTTATAAAGCTCACTTCTAATTTCAAATCCTATAAAATCATCAGTTGTGATATAGGCAACTGGAAAGTTGCAATTCAGGATTAGTGAACGCTTCTCTGGGGAAGAAAGTGACTCTTCCAGTGACAGTGAGGACACTGGGTTTGAAATTAAGATTTCTGAGCTTGATACCCTACTCTTTATAGGGAGATGAACAAATCACTAAATATAGTTGAGTCTCAGTTTCAATTACAAAATGAACTAGATTCCTAAGGGACACTATTGTAGCTATAATATTCTCTGGTTCTGCAGAGAGAATCACACTCTATTTTCATGACTAGATCCATCTAGCCCCTTAGATTGGAATGCTAAATGCCTAGCAAGGTGGAATTGATACTAGGGCAACCTTCTATGTGAATAACAAGAAATCTTTTTACAGAGGCCATTTTCTATACAAACAAGTTTAATGGCTGTTATGGAATCATTAATTATAAACATAGTTATTTAAAAATATTTTATTAAATTTTGATTTAAAAACGCAAGAGAAGAATGTAACACCTCAGAGCAAAGGCTTGATGGTAAAACAAATGTAACTATAAATATTGCACTTATAAAATCTCTTATCTTCACACCACACATTTCTAATTTATCCTTTTACAGAAACATAAATAAACCGCTTCCAAACTGTCAACATTTAGTTCCCTATCACTGCACTAAACCTGCAGGTTTTCAACTAGATATCTGCTCCTTGGTGCAGGCACAGAACTGCGATCAGCAGTATCAGAGTCTAATACCTACATCTCATTAAAAGTAAATCTTTCTGAATGGTCAATATTTAATGGTACAAATATTTTTTCCTACTGAGAAAAAGTAAACCTTTCAAAGGCATTGACAGAATGCAGCTTAAATACACATAATCCACTGTTAACATTGCTTATTTTTCAGAGCATTTAGGAGCTTCTGATTCTTTGTCTTGAACATCATGATAAAGCTGTTTGGCATGATTTTGCCTTTCCCATCTTCCCCCACTTGGCCCATAATGATGTAATTCAGACCTAAAGAAAGAGAAAATAAAATTAACCTTTCTCCTATATGTACTGATTTGAAGCAAATTAGACTATAACTTATCTCTAGATAAATAACCTCTAAATTATATAATTACACATTTATTCCATTGGGGAAAAATCTGGTTTAAGATGCTCCTCAGCAAAAAAACTAAATTCAGCTGAATAACATATTCTAGCTCTGCTGACACCAGGACACTGATAGGATAATTAGATCCAGTCCTGTCCTGGTGTCTTCACTGTGGGCTGGCTCAGAACCATGCACTGTGTTCACATGGAGCACTCCAGCTCCCAGACACGCCATCCTCTGATGGCCATTCATAGTGTCATGATGGCCTAGATTTCCCAGGCACTTGGCAAACAGTGATTATTCTCTTTGTGGTTTTTGTCTTGAACTTCTTTCAACATTTCAATCATTTTTACCATGCAGGTTTCTTGAGGACATGATTGGATCTTACCCTTTGAATTTCTCTCTTGCCAAAAATATAAAAAGTACTAAAAGGCATCTAAACCTATAATTCCATTTAAAAAAAAAATCATTGTGTCTGGCTAAGTTAGGCCTAAACTGAAGCCTAAGTTGAGGAGTATTAGGTTCAGCTAGTAAAATTTATATAGATTTTTTAAAAAGTCATAAGAGAAATATGTGCTTCCTTTTCCTCCTGTGCAGTCATTCATACTGGTAGTGTTGAGGCTGTGGAAGGTTAGTAGGTGGGGAGGTGAATGCCACCTCAAAAAGTTGTACTGTTATGTTATCATCGTTAGGAGAGCTTTCAGTGCCTAGATGCATGCTACTTGTTCTTTGTGGCAGTTCTAGAAAGAAGTTTTATCTTTAAAAAAAAAAAAAAGATTTATTTGGGCCTTCCCTGGTGGTGCAGCAGGTTAAAGCATAGCACTGAGAAATTAAAGCCACTTCAGCATGAGTTCAATCCCCGCCCCAGAGGTGACCCACATGACACAGCAGACCTCTCCTGACACACCTGCTACTCCCCTCAGCAGTGTATTTCATCAGTCGGCCTGTCCCGCTGCCCACTCTTGTCTCTGGTGAATCCTCTCACCACCCCTGCACCTCTGCCCTGTACCCCAGTTCTGTATGCATAAACCAATAAATCTCTAAAAAAACAGATACACACACAAAGATTTATTTATTTATGCATACAAGAACTGGGGTACAGGCCAGAGGTGCTGTGGGCAAGAAGATCCACCAGAGATAAGAGTGGGGAGCAAAACAGGCAGATTGACTGAAATACATTGCTGAGGGGAGCAGCGGGCAGGTCAGGAGAGGTCTGCCATGCCATGTGGGTCACCTCCCTGGCTGGGGATCGAACTCATGCCACTGTGGCTGGCAATGGCTTGATGGCACTGACACTAACCTCTGTGCCACCAGAGAGGGCCAGAGTGTTTATCTTTTACAAAACCTTTCCTAGTCAATTTTAAAAAGCCCAAGCTGTTAGCTTCCTGAACAATCTTTACTCATAGTAAAGCTTTCTTGAAGTGGTTATTCTCTTTTTCTTGCTGTCATTGGGTATTTTTTTTGCTTGAAGGAAAGGTTCATAACAAGACTGAAAAAAAGAATGAATTGAGATTGGACAGAGAAATCACAGCATGCTGGTTGCTTTATGGTTATGCACTAAACGTAGTACTGACACCTTAAGCATCACAATCAAGAATGCCTTTCTGGGACCCTATCTGATGACTTAACGAGTTAAAGCACAGCACTGTGAAGCTCTCCACATCCACTTCAGCACAAGTTCAATCCCCAGCCAGGGAGGTGACCCACATGGTGTGGCAGACCTCAGCAGTATTTCAGTAGATCTGCCTGTTCTGCTCCCCACTCTGTCTCTAGTGAATCCTCTCACCACGCCCCCCCCCATTTCACGCCCCCCCCCCCTCTGGCCTATACCCTAGCTCTTGTGTGCATAAATAAATAAAATCTTTTTTAAAAAATGTCTTTCTGCTGAAGTGGCCCTTCTTTCTGTGTCCATGTGGTTCTGTTTGAACCACGTGTTCTTGGACTCATTCATCGCTGCCACAACGTCTTCCCTAAGTTACATGAACTGGGGTAAAGCCCAATTCTGCCCGATTGCTCAGGCCATCCTTTTACACCAAAAGAAGGCACTACCTCAGCCCCAGTCTTACCTCCCTTGGCCAGTGAGTTCTAGACAGATCCAAGACTTGCCCGAAAAGTCCCCTTCCCCTCCGCCCCTGAGCTCCTCTGCAAGAAAAACTAAGGCTTTGCTCCTTACTCACCTCTCCTGAGGAGAGGGCACTGCTTGCATGCCACGATAACCTTGGCGCTCATGTTCTTGCCAGCTTGCTGAATGGCCAGATTTCCTTCTTTATAGATGTTGATGATTGAGACAGTGGCATGTAAACTCCCACCCCGTGGGGCGGTCGTGATGACTGTGCCGGCCAGTACTGCAGAAGAAAACATTTTTGAAGCAATGTGATATGAAAAGCAAAGACAAGCAGTACTGAAACTAATTGTGTATTTTTTTTTTTTAATTTCAGAGAGAGGACCTTTTAATGTTAAAGAGAAAATTTTAATAGAACTATGGAATTTGATTCTGTATATTTGTCACCAAAATTAGGGTTCAAAAAAAGTGGCCGTGGAGCTATAGCGTCACCCAGTTGTCAGTTGCTGAAACCGCAACCCCTGGAGGATATTTTATTCCAAAGGGCCTGTTTCCCACCCACAAAATCTGTTGAGTGATACGACCTTCCATGTTGTAGACTGTTGGTGAACTGGGGACTCTTTTTCTTAAAGATTTTTTTTTAATATGTGTGCAGAACTGTGGTACAGGCTAGTGGAGCAGGGATGGTGAGACAGAGTGAGGAGCAAAACAGGCAGATTGACGAGGTACACTGCTGAGGGGAGCAGCGGGCGGGTCAGGAGAGGTCTGCAGCTATGTGGGTCACCTCCGGGGCCAGGGATGGAACTCTTACTGAGGCGGCTATGGCTAGCTTGCAGTGCTGTTCTTTAGCCCACCGCACCACCAGGGAAGGCCCGAATTAAGGACTCTTTACAATGTTTTATCCCACAAGCAGGTTCAGTACCAGCTCAGGGGTAGGTTATGAGCCTGAAATACTTGACACGAGCTTCATCTTTAGGGGCAACGTTGTACCAAGAGGCTGCACGCCGGGGCTCATGGACCAGAGACATGTGTGGGTGAGCACTACTCTCTGTATCTTCCCTCCAGGTCCTCTCCTTAGCTGTCCTTTCTCTTTGACCTTCAGTTCATTTCAGGGGTTCCCATCTCTCACTAACAGTAAATATTTTTTTTTTCTGTGTCTTTCATGTTCTTTTTTCTTATCTTCCCCAAGCACCTCATTTAACAAGCTGATGTACAGAATGGAGATATAACTTAAAACATTTCCTTGCTTTTAAAAAAAAATTATAGGGCCCTGCCTGGTGGTGCAAAGGGTTAGGACACAGCTATCTGCCGCTGCTTCAGTGTGAGTTCGCTTCCCAGCCCTGGAAGTGACCCACATGGCGCAGCAGACCTCTCCTGACCCGCACGCGCTCCCCTCAGCAGTGTACTTCATCCCCCTGCCTGGTCTGCTCCCATCTCTGTCTCTGGTGAATCCTCTCACCACCCCTGCACCTCTGGTCTATACCCCAGTTCTGTATGCATAAATAAATAAATATTAAAAAAAAAAACACTCAAGCAAAGTTTAGTTACCTTTTATCATGTAATTCTCTCTTTTTCAGTTGTGTTCCTTAGGCAAGAGATTGAAAAGGTGCCGTGTTTCTCAATGTGCTTTTGGCATTTGCGGGGGGATAATTCTGTGTGGTGCTGGACTTGTGTGGAATAGCATTTTTTTAAGCACAGTGCCAGAAAAGCCAGTCGTGTCCTCCTGTATTATCACATCAGCCAAAACTGCCTCTTCGGAAGTAATCAGTACTGGCTCAGAACCAGTGAGCCATGGGAAATGTTAACCAGTTGTTTTATTGTGTAAGTCACCAGGAATAACTTAAGTGGAATATTCAGCTTGATGAATCTAATCCTTTCAGGATCAAGTGAAAACTCACACACCGCATAAAGCTCATAAAATTGGAATCTTTTCACACTTTAATTCCTGCTGATAATTAAATAATAATTCAATTAATGATTGAAATAATTAAATTTGAGATCTTTACTTTTAAGTGGTTTTCATACAAAGTGCAATTTTTTCATAGAAAAAGCTCTTAGAAATGCAACAAGCCAGTCTGTGGCCAGGTGAAATCCCATAACATCAAAAGACAGGACGACAGTGCTCCTTAAGCATCTCCTAGCATCTCCTGTGTCTCCTTAAGGCACAGGAAAACAAAGCCTCTTCTAGAATGTTCTCTATTTTGGTGACTGACTGTAGTTAGGCTGTAGCAACTCTGTTTGCTGATAAGACTTTATAGAAGAATTGAAATAATTAAATTTGAGATCTTTGCTCTTAAGTGGTTTTCACTGGAAGTGCAATTTTTGAATAGGAAAAGCTCTTAGAAATGCTAAGTGATTAGGTAATATCTCCTCAGGTTCCAGCTTATTAAGAGTTTCCAAATGGATTCCAGATTTCCAAGTTTCGATTTAGTACTCTGGAAGGACACTACAGAGGAAATACTTGAATTTCTTCTGAGAGAGGCCTGCTTGGATAAAAGTTTCTAATTTGCTTAAGTTGAATAACAGATGTGTGCAAAACACTCAGCACATGAAAAAGTATGTGCAGAAAAACGTATAGAGCTAGCCAAAATAGGTCGAGAAGCAGTATCATGTACAAGAAGCCAAATCATCAAATTATTCAGGATTTAGGAAATATTTTCTTGGGTAATGGAAGGGCGTTACTAACTGTTACCATCACATTTATGGCAGTTCCTTTGAGGTGAAGCCTGCAGCCTCAAGTTTCTGATTAAGAGAAAAGCGTGGCTTTTATTTCTTACCAAAGTTACTTGAACAATAATTGCTCTCCACAGTCCCCGTCCGTCTACACTTCTGTTGACACAGGGCAACAGTGGGTTTTAAACCTTAATTCAAAGAAGAAATTCAGCAAAGTGAATTCACATGGAAGTGGTTTTAGATCAGAACCTATCAACTTAAAATTTCTATTTTCCTGATCCATCAATATGTCATTAAATGAAATAAGTAAAAAGCATGCAAAAAAATTTCTTCATGCTACCAACTACGGTTCTCATTTCCTTAGGGCAACTCAATGCTTTCTACTGAATTTTAAATCTGAGAACAAAGATAATACAAATTTAGCCCTCTTCTTTTATATGTAACTAACACTATAACCAAAATGGATTGTCCTTTCTACATGCTTTGGTCAGAAAAATCCAGTCCTGGGCAACACACAGGAATTCAGAAAGAGCAGGTTAATTCTTCACTTGCCACAAGAATCCTGTGGTGTCCCCCTCAATAGAAGGAGTTTTTTGATGGGTTTAAAATATATGGTTATCCAAATGTGAGCAGTGCAGGTTTTCTCAAACAACTTTATAGTATAATTAGGTGCACCCAATCACTAAATATTTATTTTGAGCTTTCATTGCCTATAAAGACCTTAAGAACTGAGAAGACTTAATTTAAAAATAAAGACTAATTTAAAAATAAAACAAAATAGATAAACATAGTGGTTCTCAACCAGGGGTGATTTTGCCTCTAGGTGACATCTGACATCTGATATTTTGGTTATCACAACTGAGGGCTGCCAATGGCGTCAAGCAGATAGACACCAAGGATGCGGCTAAAAATCCTGCATAGAACAGAATGGTTCTCCCACAACAAAGAACTAATTGGCTCAAAATATAAATGGTGTCAACAGGTTAAGAAACCCTGCATTAACAAAATACGTTAATCCCCGTTATCATAAACATTCTTTAAAAATAATTTGTTAATTTTTTTTCTCTTGTAGGTCGCAAAATGCTGAGGTGTATTAGCAAAAAACAACCCCAGTAGAATTATTGTTGGGGTAAGTGTTTGCAATTGCAATAGTACCCTTCTGCTTATGCTTCTATGCATTCTTTGTTTATTTATCTTAATTTTACCACTATTTAACTCCAAAAAGGATTGAAAGTTAATTAAAATATACAATTTAATGTTAATGTTAAAATGTATATAATTCTCACTTTGCTATCTTCCCAATGTTCTCAGGTCTCTGATCATCCTCATCCGGTAACCTTGTCAATTTTTCTAGAGAGAAGGGATGACAATCGAAAATGCCCTCAAGATCCTCACCAAACCTCCAAGTCGTCTTTAGCAAAACTTTCTTTCCTTCCCTGACAGGGGCATCGTCACTTCCTATCTAAGGTCTAGGTGTCTCTGAGTCCTCTAAGGGCCAAACTTGGTACAACTCTTTTTGTACATATTTCCTCCTCACTTTATGCCTCTATCTACCTGATGTTCTTTACTGCCTACTACACAAGGGACTGGTGCAGTGCACATCCATACCACAAGGTGGCACACTTGTGGAGTGCTGAGAACAGTCAGCTTTTTGAGAAGTAGCTACTTAGTAAAGAACAGCTGGAGGGCATATAGAGATTTGATGGACAATAAAGCTGGCTTATTTCATATCTAAACCTTAACTACTTTCTCCCCCATTTTTGCTTCTCCCTGGATTTAAATTTTGAAGTCTGAGATCTGAAATCCCCCTGGGTAGTTGACAGAATGTAGTTAGAGGAACCTAAATCAGCCTATTTCTTTCTTAGCTCATAAGATCTGTTTCCCAATTTATCTTTTATAATATGCAGAATATTTTTGTTTAATTTACTCGCAAGTTGAAAAATAATTTTGTATGAAACATTTCGGAGTAAAGCAAAACAAAAAACAGCAACAACAAAAAAGCCCAATCAAAACAAGGCAGGTATCAAGGCCCTAGAACTTAACCCCAAATACTACAATTCTTTGTAATAAGAAGAAAACCATACTGCTTGAAAAGAAAAATGATCTCTATCATTATACAGTGACCTATATCAATATGAAACAATTTTAAGTGGTTATAATTTTTTAACGACATTTGAAAATTATTAGCTTATAAACATTCTTAAACTTTATTCTTTCTATTAATGGCTACACTCTTATATAAGTTTTCATATTATTTAATTTATTTCAGTTTCAAGTATCTTTTTATTTGAATTTTTCTTAACATCAAGAGAATTTTTCTTATACTCTTCATGTTTGTTTATAAGCTTCAGGACAGAATAACTTACCTGTAGTTACCGGCAATGTGGTAGTAACAGGTGGTGTTGTCGTTGTAGGCAATTTTTTTGGTCTGAATTTGTAGTGACCAATAAATCCATCTGCAGTTAAACTCAAGTCTGATAAAAACTGAATGAGAAGTTCATTTCTCTCTGATATAATTGGCCTAAACAAGGAAAAATGTGTGTCTATATTACAAACATACATATATTACATATATATATATATTTAAAGCTTAAATGGCATCTCTGGAAAGTAGGATTTTTTCCTCTCCATTAATTTTTGATAATAGATTACTATTTAGTTTAAACCTATAAGCTAAAACTCTTTTTAAAAGGTTTAAGTCTGAATCTGCTCAATATTAATGCTAATAACACTAAACATTTGCTTAACTGAGCACTGTGCTCTGTGTGAACTATCATATCCTATTTCACAACAACCCTATTATTCCTTTTTTAAGGAACTAAAGTTCTGAGAGTTTAAGGGATTTGCCCAAGGCCCCACAGCTAGTATATAAGAGTGTCAGGATTTGAATCCAGGACCAGGTGACTCTAGAAATTGTAGTAGACCCTGGGACCAGCATACATATAGAAGCTATGGCTTCTATATGCACCATAGTGCTTGATGTGACTTGGGAACAGCACAGGTTCTTTGAGCTATGGTTCAAGCTGTCCTGGGGAGCTGAGGATATTGGCTACTGAGAACTGGACAGGCAAATGTGATACACCAAAGAGATCTCAGTATGCTGGTCACCCAGGGGTAAGAGAAGCTATTCAAGGTTTAATGGGTTCCATTTCATTTCGAATGGGAGCTCCCATGCATGCCTAAAGTGGAAGTTTGGTTTTTTGTTTGTTTTTTGTTTTATTTAAAGAGCAAGTTTATTAGAAAAAGACAGGTGAGAAAAGACACTTGCATAGACACATGCAGGCAGGAAGAGCTGCCCTGGAAGGGACAGGTTTGCAGGGAAAGAGACCTGCATGGATGCAGGTGGGCAGTCTTAGGAGAGCAGCCTCCCCTCAGGGAGGTCAGTGCACAGGAGTCCCGGCATGGTAGAGATCATGGCCAGGCAGGACGCTGCTGCCCTGCAGAGGGAGAGAGTGGGTGGAAAGAAGCACCTGCATAGTCACAGGTGGGCAGAGGAGTGGCTGCCTAAAGTGGAAGTGTTAAGGGGAACGATGTTCTAAAGGAACTCTGCAGAGTTTTGTGGACCCCACCTCCTACTCTGGCTTTCTGGACTCTACCCCCCCCCCCCACTCCAGTGATTGGAAACTACAACCCCAGCAGCACCAGGGAGAGAACTGCGAAGACCCAAGGGTGGAGCTAGCAGGAATCCTGGGACATTTGGGGGATAAATAGGGTGCGACTGCATCTCTCTTGCTCGCTTTTGCTTGCTGGGGAAACAGCTCTCCTGACCACGTGACTCGTGTGACTCGGTGTTTTTCAGTCAGTGACAGTGTGTTCAGACAGCCTAGCCGGTAAGGTATTCCAGTTACTTTGTATTCCTCTCTCTTTCCCTGGGTTGTTTCCTATTCCTTTCCCCTTTTGTAAATAAACCCGTTATTGACCCTTTTGTGTGTGCCTATAGTATAACTGAATTTTGAGCCAGCGGTTGAGGCCCCACAGACAGGTGGCCTAGTCCACCTGTCCTGTAACAGAAGTATTTCCACTAAAGTTAGTAATTTCCATAGCAAAATGCTGTGAATAAGAAAACAATTCTTCCATTTTGGTGGTCTTGAAGCTAATTCTAAAGCTAATTGAGGAGTGTGCTGGCTCACTAGTGTTAGATTTAGTGGAGATAGTAACTGTAGCTCAAAAGCTATCTTAAATCTAAGAGACTAACTAGATCCTACAAGATAACAGCTTCAGTTAAGATTTTTCTATTATTTAAGCAATAGTAAAAATGCTGTTAGATTAATTCTGTTTGTTTTATTTAGTTCAGAAATGAGAATAAAACAGTTTATTCAACTGTGCTAATTGGCTTAATTCAAGTTTTTTTTTTGAAGATTTATTTATGCATACAGAACTGGGGTACAAGCCAGAGATGCAGGGGCAGTGAGAGGCTTCACCAGAGACAGAGCGGGGAGCAGGACAGGCAGATTGATGAAGTACACTGCTGAGGGGAGCAGTGGGCAGGTCAGGAGAGGTCTGCCACGCCATGTGGTCACCTCCGGGGCAGGGATTGAACTCATGCTGAAGTGGCTTTAGCTTCTTAGTGCTGTGCTTTAACCTACTGTGCCACCAGGGAGGGCCCTTAATTCAAGTTTTTGAGGCATTTTCTCAGTCAAACCACTTTATAGGCCATAGACAGTGAATCATGAGACAACGCCATTTTTCCCTTTCTATAGGGTGCGTGTGCGGGTGAGTGAAGGGAGGGTAAATCTGTCTTTGACCCAACCAGCTTGAAAAGCTGCAGGCTGCTTTTCTGTCCCGAAGGTTATTACCCTCTGAGTCCAGGGGTGAAATAAACCTAAGCGTGAGCTTCACCACCTATGTATATAGTTCTGGTCACAAAAGTAAACAAAGACATGTAGATATTTCTGATCATCAAGTCTTTAAACAGAAAGATTTTATCTTGCTTTTGAAAAAACACATTCTACTAGATAAAATACATACAGTTCTCAGCTACAGTTAACAAATAAAATGTGTTAATTTGCAGTTAAGTGATAAAATCACAAAAAGCATTATTATAAGTTGCAAAGGCAACCGCACGACTCAACCCGGTCAGGCTTGTAGGCAAGACACTGTAATTATAGTAATCACCCACTGCCTTTTCTATGAATGAGTCTTGGACGCATTATACTGGAAACCGCATCTCCTCAAGGAAGAGTATTTCAGTCACAAAGGCATATTTTTGTTATGATACTACAGAGTGTTAGCATGGATGTGACAGAATCACAGTGCCATAAATGTCCTGAGGACCATGTGTTGTTGCATCTGCAAATTAATGCTGCACTAGAAAAGCAAAAAGAAAGCTGGCTGGGCTCCACTCTGCACTGGCAAGTCTCAGGAATGCATCGAGGCCTGTTTAGTGTCTTCAGAGCCAGTTAAGTTAGTTCCTCCGCTTTACCAGTTTTTCTTTTCTGCAGTCACTACAACCAATCAACTATGTGACCTGTCACTTTTGCCTTCTAATTTATTTCTTGATCCCTACCATCTCACTTTATCCGGCCAAGCCTTCCAGCCAGCCTCCCTGCTCATCTCGTCAGGATGGGGTTCTACGTGCACTGGCCATGCCACTTCCCTCTCCAGACATGGGGTGGGGGTTCCCATCTCTGCAGGCCACAGAACCCAGTTCAGCCCTGCTGCCTTATTTCTCGTTAGCCCCCAACTCCAGAGGCAGACTCTGGGAGAGCATTTCTCCCCTATGTGTCTTTATTAAAGAAATTCCCCCTGTTTGGATTAAGTCTGTCCTCTCTTCTGCCTCTGACTAACCAACTCTTCCTTCAAGACTCGGTGTCAAGAAGACAAACTCCTCCAAAAACACTTCCCCCTATCTCCACACCTCTCTTCCTAACAGGGCGAAAGGATTCATGTCAGAAATTCCACCAGGATATTTCTCTGCCAGTTCACTTTGTATTGTTGCAAGCCCTCCTCCTAATTATCTTTGCATTTGAATGTATCTGTGTACGCCAGGTACCTCACCACATCCGGGACCTAGCCTGGGTGTAATACATGTTTCTGTACTGAATTCAGTAAGCACTGGTTCTGCACTGAACCAGACACAGGGACGATGAGATGTCTCACCCACCAGGCACTCCTATTTGTACATTTAACAGAAGAAATACTCCCCAAACAGCGTTTCTCATTTTCTTACTGGCCCACACTAACAATGGAGAGCTAGTCCTTACTCAGAAATCAAAAAAGATAAATTCATGCCATTTGCAGCACACATGGATGGAGCTGGAAGGGATCGTGCATAGTGAAATATGCCAGAAAGAAAAATACTGGATGGTTTAAGAAAAAAAAAAAGCAATTGTAATAAAGTAAAAATGAAAATCAACAACTATAAACCAGAGACATTCTATGGGGGTGGAGAGGGGAACAGGATCAAAACTGGAGCAGGAAAGAGCACTTGGGACGATAGTGGTGGCACAGGGGTGAAGTGGTGGTGGGAAGTCCACAGGGATTACAACCCAGATGAAAGAATATACAAAATGAAGAAAGATGAAAAAATATATATACATTAAAACAAAAGTGCTAGTTGGTGGGCCTGCAGTCAAGCATCCCAGGCTGAGTTCTCTGTGCTGCTCAGCTGCCATCTCCCAGTGGACAGGCTCACTCAGTGAAAATGTGAGCAAGCAGCCGAGGAAGAGGAAGAGGAAGCACAAGCCCCCCCCCTTCCCTCCCTCAAAATTCACTACCATAAATTTTGTGCTAACGGTCCATCCTTTTATCTCTAGATTTCTTAATATATCACTAATAACATACCATATAGCTTAACAAGCTAATTTAAACTTCGTCTGAATGGAAGGATTTGGTGTGTTTGTTTTTTCCACTCTCTACATGTTAACTGCGAGGTGCACACACTGTTCTCAATGATGAACAGTGTGTTCTATAAACAGCTAGTCTCTGGCTGATAAACACCACCACCCCCAACATCATCAACAATATTGAAGAGAACATTCATGTCCACGCCTTATGGATCACGTGGGCAAAGGGGCTTTCGTGGGCACAGCAGGAGGGGAGGGTGTATTTTCTGGCTAATCCCAGGGTAAATGGTTTTCAACTTCTAGATAATGCTGACTCCCACAGTGGTTGTGCCAGTTTATATTTTTCAAGGACTTATTCACATTTGGGAATGTCTTTTCATGTCTTTCCCCATTTCTTTCTGTTGGATTGTTGTATTTTCCTTATTAATCTGTAGGATTCCCTCCCCCCTCCACCCCAGTCTCTGGAGCCTAGCCTTTGTCAAATCCATGTTACAAATGTTTCCTTGTTTTGTGCCTTCTCCTTCCCCCTCTAACCTGTCTTTTGATGAGCAACTCTTCTCATTTAAATTTTTTCTCATTTTAGTTCTCAGTTCATCTATGAGTGATTCTTGTGTGATATGAGATATGAATAGTTTAATTTTCCCATTTGCATAAAATTTGTCCCTGCCTCCTTTTTTAATAAGCCTAGGTGTGCTGATGTGTGACTTTCTGTGCCCAGTTAGTTACATGAATGTGTTTCTGGCCTCTCTCTGTTCTTTCCATGAGTCAGTTTGTCTACTTCTCTCCTTGAAAAAGGGAGAGTCTTCTGGATTATTTACTTGGTCCTAAATAATGTGATGTCAAAGAGAGCTTTGACTATGGGAAAGGAGTAGATAATATTTTGACAGAATCAGAGACTGGAATGATGTATTTTGATGATGGAGGAAGGAGTGACAAGCTAAGAAATATAAGCAATAATGATAAAAGCCAGTGCTACTTACGCAGGAGGGCTATCACCACAATACTTGCCAATTCTTCTTGCATCATTGATTTCCCCTCCATTGAACACAGCCACGTAATCATACCGGCAGTAGTTATCACGTTCCACATCAAATTTCTCAAACTTTAATTCTATAAGCTTTAGTGAAAATGCAAAGTTAGAAATGTCAAAACAGCACAGCTGCAGATCCTCACCATGGAATGCTGCCGCTCACCAGGTTTGCAGGGTATTAAGATTTTCCTTAGTGAAAACGGCATTTAGTCTGTTGAAAAATTTGTTTTTGTTTGCGTATTTCTTAGTTAACAAGACAGTAGAATCCTTCTGCTCTAATCATTCCAAAATCTTAGCAATCTTAAAGTATGGGCATACCCTAGCCCTGGCAGACTACATTAAGACTGTAACTGGATATATGTTGGAGTGGGAAGAAGGGTTATAAACCAATTTCATTCTTCTGTATAAGAAACAGAAAGTATTATGTAAGGCGTCCCTTATTTTAGTGTATGCTGGGGTGTGTGTGTGTGTGTGTATGTGTGTGTGTGTGTGTGTCTGGGTGGGTGAGATGGGTAGGTAGAGTTGTTTCTTAAGGGAAGGCAAATGACATCCGCGACATATGCAAAGGCTCAAATTCTTTAGGACCAGAGGTTGAGGGAAGTGGGATTGACTGATGTCTTCTTGACATGTGTTTGAAAAATGTTCCCACAGCCTATTTAGGGATGTGGGTGATTTTTGAAGAAGTTGCATAAAAGCATCGGTATAAGTCAGTATTAGATTATTTAAGTACATCTTAATTTTGTGCATTGAAACCTCATTGGGTTCACCAATGCCCATGGCACCCACACAATGGATGCCTATTCTTGCTGGGGGGCAGGTGGGCAGGTACCTGCCCTGCTGCTTAGGGAAGATAATGGATATTAATTCCCCTTAGAACAGGCACATAGTTATTAACTAAGGAAGAGTCAGACACAGTTGTGGGTGAAGATAACAGCAACAGCTCATGAAGACACAAAAAGGTAAATATTTCCTCTTTGGGTCCAGTGACTTCTCACTGATAGTAATAAAATGCTTAACAGGTTATTAAAAAATTGAACTTTCTCTGCTTAGAAATTAGTAACATCACTTTTAGAGGGAAGATAAAATAAATAGGAGGGTAAAGGGGGAAGCTATGATAAAAATTAAGGTAAAAGTCTTTATTTTCTTTAAAAGAAAATAGATTTGTACAAAAATTATTTAAGACTTAAATTTCTCATTTTATCGTTCTTCTTTAGATAAGACTTTCAGTGATTTCAGACTAAAGCAATGATTAAAAATTCAATAGGCTGGGCCCTCCCTGGTGGCTCAGCGGGTTAAAGTGCTGCGCTAGGAAGCTAGTCACTTCCGCATGAGTTCGATTCCCGCCTGCCACGGAGGTGACCACATGGCGCGGCAGACCTCTCCTGACCCGCCCACTGCTCCCCTCAGCAGTGTACTTCATCTATCTGCCTGTTCTGCTCCCGGCTCTGTCTCTGAATCCTCTCACCCTCCGCATCTCTGGCCTGTACCCCAGTTCTATATGAATAAATAAATAAAATCTTTAAAAAAAAAAGATCCAATGGGCTAAAGCCAAAAATCGTATTAATAAAATAAAATCCAAATTAAACAATCAAAGGGAAGAATGGGGAAATGCTAAGCTGTAATGTGCAAGTATATTTAAGTTGAATTTTTTAGTCTAATATATTTACAAATATCACAGAAAAAGAATAGATGCAATTTTATGAATTAAATGTTTCAAATATTGAGGAATGTAGTTTTTCAGTGTTAAGCTATAAAATGTTGTACAGGTTTATAGAATCCTTCAATATTAAGTTAATATCCATATTTTTATTCTTAAAAATGAAACTTAATTTTGGGGTTACAATTAAAGAATTCATGTATGTGTATATTTTGTGTGTGTGTTTAGAGCACTAACCTGCATGGTATAATTGCCTGGATAATTTTCCCCTCTAAATGCATATATAGGTAATGACATTTATGTAAGTATTGAAAGGATCAGCTTAGAAAAGTTTTTTTTAAGCTATCATAATGTTCCACTTTATTGTGCTTGAATTAAAATCTGCATGCATTTGTAATTATAATAATTACTAAAAAGTTACTTTTAAAAGCGTACCAACTAGGTTGGGTCTATTCTATACTAAGTTTTATCCTATAATTAATATCTAAAAGTGCTTCTGAGAAAAGGTAAAAATTCACGTGACACAAATAAGCACTGGAAAACTCAACTTCTGTTGATTATTTTAGAAAAATGAATAAGGTTTTTTCGGGAAAAATTGCACAAATAATATTTTAAATGACACACTCACACACACACAAAGCAGACTAGTTTTTACATGAGACCCCTACTTCTTTGAAGAGGTGATCTGGCAGGCTTGTGTTGGCTTTGTAGAAGAGGCATTCAGGCTATTTTCGACCTGGTGATCAGGATGGCCATTACCCAGGCAGGATGGGTTTGCACATGACGAATAGTGACTAACATGTATATGAAGTGGGGGATCTGTGTCCTTCACTGTCGCTACTGCCTGCAACATCTTCTAGAGGGTTAAACTCTCTCACAGAAGATTTCCTTACCATTTGTATTTCAGAACCTCCTTTGAAAACTACAATTGTCTAATGGAAAATTCAATCCAGAGCTTTGCAAGTCAAATAGTGCAAAATCGATTTTAAATCTGTGTATTTGTATGAAGAAATACTGTGTCCAGCAGTGCCTCCCCTGTAGACGTAACTCATGCAAAATCCCCAGAACTGAGTGCTCTTGAAAGCTGGGCACCTCATACATGCAATTCACACATGCATGCTTTCTTCACACTTTCAGCGAACCTCACCTGATTCTTTGGTGCTACAATGTGCCACACACAAGTGACTCCTGCAGGGTAGTCACGGTCTGGCCAGTTGGGGGTTTTAAAAGACCCTGAAGGTCTTTCAAGGCGTCCTCCACAATACTGGTCACCTGAAGTTATTAAATCATGAAAAAAAAAAATCCAAGTTCATATTCTTAAATTGGTAATGGCAATGCAACCATGAAGAGGTTAGGAATTTGGAATACTAATAATTCCAAATTAGTAAATAAAAACAATGGTAGAAGTTCTTAAATTTCTCTTAGGAACATGGCTATATAATTTCTTCCCTCCATGCCTCTCTGTCATTCCCACACATATACACACAATGTATCTGTTGCTTATCATATCAGCAAGAGAGAGCATAGGAGTGGAGACAGGCCCATACCTTCTTTTTTTTAAAATCTTTTAGACTACTAGGACAAAACAACATTTGGTCATGTAGAAATCAGGCAGACTCAACAAGTTCCATAGATTTTAAGAATCCTCAAGGAAGGTAATTATCAGTAGTTAAAATCCATGCCAATGCACACACAAAATTTTTTTTTATTAGTTTATTTTTACGTATTGTGTATTTTTCCATCTCAGTGGCAAGCTCCTTGGGATTCCCATCACCAAATCACCCATGGCCCATGCACAAAATTTTAATTAGTTGTCACAGGCAACTCTAAATTTAAGAAAATGTATATTTAGAAAGATTTAAGAATTAAGAAATAATTTCTTAAACTTTTTGTTCATAGACAATTTCAAAGCATATACAAAGTATATCATATAAGCCGGTGAACATCCATAAACAATTATTACAATTGATTACCACCAAACTACTATGTAGGCCAGTTGTCTGAACTGAGGCTTTATATTTATATTCATTCTACCACTACTGCCACCCAATTTCTACTAACTGATTATTATTTTAAAATTAAAACTATTAATTCCATAGTTTTTAGGGTGGTGAATCCATATACTTTGAAATATACAAATCTTAGCTGCAAAAATTTGAAAAATGGATATAACCATCTAAGCTATACTATGATGATATAGAATCTATTTCCCCACAAAATTATGATATCCCTTCTTAATCTGCTGACTCTACTTGAAAAGTTTGATCTTACAGTTGTAAAACTTCATATAAGTGAAATCCTATGTCTACTCTTCTGTGGCTTTTTTTTTTTTTTTTGGTACATCTATTAAGATTTATTCATGTTTCTGCAAGTATTGGTAGTGTGTTCCTTTATATTGCTGAGGAATATTCCAGTACAGGGGAGGATCACAATTTGTTTCCCCAATCTCCTCTTGATACTCATTTGGGCTGTTTCCTTTTTAAGCTACAGTGAATACAACTGTTATGAACATTTTACACAAATCTCTGTTTGTGGACACATATTTTCATCTGTAACATAAATATCAAGAAAGGCAATTTTGGGGCCAAGAGTAGATGTAGATGCTTAACTTTATAATAAAAATGCCCTTTCGTAGGTGCAGTATTTCATATCTCTCAAGAAATGAGCATAAGATTGCATAACATCCTGGTGTTACCAGATTTTTACCAATGTGATAGGCATGTAACAGTACTGCATTGTGGGTTTAATTTGCATTTCTCAGTTATTCATAATAGTGAGCAGTTTTTCATGTACTTACTAGCTATTCACGCATTTCTCTGTGAAGTATCTGTTCAAGGGTTTATACATTTTAATATTTATTAGGATCTTTATCTCTTTACTCTTGAGTTGTGTGAATTCTTTGTTTACTCTGAATACAAGTCCTTTACCAATTATTTCTACAAATGTTTTTTTCCATTCTGCAGGTTGCTTATATTTGTAACAAAACCTTTTTAGAAGCACTAGGTTTTTTTTTTTTTTTTTTTTATTTGTGCATACAGAACTGGGGTACAGGCCAGAGGCTCAGGGGCGGCGAGAGGCTTCACCAGAGACAGAGTGGGGAACAGAACAGGCAGATCGACGAAGTACACTGCTGAGGGGAGCAGCGGGTGGGTCAGGAGAGGTCTGCCACACCATGTGGTCACCTCTGGGGCAGGCGGGAATCGAACTCATGCGGAAGCGGCTTTAGATTCTCAGTGCTGTGCTTTAACCAGCTGCGCCACCAGGGAGGGCCAGAATCACTAGCTTTTTAAAGAAATTTGCATGGTACATATTTTGCATTCTTTTGCTTTCAAACTATTTGTATTTCAGGTACTTTCATGTAGACAGCATATAATTAGGCTCTGCTTTTTAATCCATTCAGTCTTGGAACTGAAGTGTTTGATCCTTTACATTTAATATAGATATCAGAATGCTTGGATTTACTGTGCCATAAACTTTTTTTTTCTTCTATTTGTTTCATCCTTCTTTTGTTCATTTGTCCTTCCTTTCTTGACTTTGGATTAGTAGAAAAATTTTTGCATTCTATTTTAATGTTTGGGCTTTTAGCTATAACTCTTACATTTTTAATGGGTACTCTAGGAATGACAATACACAACTTTAACCACATCTACATGAGTTAATATTACACTTCTTCAAGGTATTATTTATCTGTGTGTGTGTGTGTGCACGATAAATACTTTCATTTACTTTTTCATACTTTGTTCTACTGCTGTTGTATATATTATTATAACATATATTACATATTCCACAATACAGTGTTAAAGTTCCATTTTTCTTTGGGCATATGCCAAGAAATTGAGAGAAAAAGAAAAGAATATATATAATCTTTTATGACTAGCCCTCTTCTACTGGCTGCTAATCCTTCCATTACCTTTGTGTTACCCTAGCAGGTCCACTGCCTAACTGAGGAACTTCATTCAATATAGCTTGTGATGCATTTTAACTTTGTTTCATTTTCATTTTTGAAAAATGTTTACAGAGTTCTAATCTGACATTATTTTCCAGCACTTTATAAATGCTGTTCCACTGCCTCCTGGCTTCCACTGGTTTTGATTAAAAGAGGACAGTTTTTCAAATCACTTTCCTCCAGTATGTGATTTGGTTTTTATCTGATTTGTTTTAGGATTTTCTCTTTTTCTTTACATTTCTGTAACTTAATTAAGTCATCTATGTGTGATTTCATTTTTATTTATCTTTTTGGAGGTTCACTGACTTATCAACTCCTTAAATAGATGTTCTTTACTAAATTTGGGTAGCTTCAAGCTATTACTCCTTCAAGTATTTTTTCTACACTATCATCACTCTCTTTCTCTTGTGGGACACAAATTATACGTGTTAGACCATATGATGCTTTCTCACTGGTCTCTGAGGCTTTTTTTTGTTTGTTTAATAAAACTTTTCCCATTAAGTTCTTTAGAGATTTGGAAGTTTCTCAAATCCATCGACTAGTTCTACCATCTTCAATCTGTTTATATAAGTCCATCAGGTACATTTTAAAATTTCAGTTTCTGTACTGTTCAGCTTGAAAATTAGCAGTTTGTACTTTTTTTTAATAGATTTCCTTTTCTGAGATTCTCAATCTGTTTATTTATTGCATATGTGTTTCTCGTTAAGTCCTTAAATATTTTATTTTTAAATTGAATATTGGTTTATAACATAGTTTTAGGTGCACACTCTTTTAAATCAACATATATATAGTATATATGCAAACATAGTATGCCACCAGAATTCTTGTTTCCATCCATCACCATGTAGCTGATTCTCTTTGTCCCGTTTTTCTACCTGCCTCCCTACTTTTCTTCCGATAGTCAATTCTTTGTCCTATTAGTCTGAAAAATTACTTTTTAACAAACTTAACTCATTTCATTTGTTTTGTTTCTATATGTACCACTTACAAATGAAATCATGTGGTGTTTGTCTTGCTGTCAGGTTTCATTCACTGAGCATAATACCCTGTAAGTCCATCCAAGTTATTGCAAATGGCAGGATTTCACTTTTCATAGTTGAGTTATATAAATATACACACACACACACACACACATACATACACACATACATGTGTGTATGTATATATACATAACATGTTTGTATACACACATACACATACGTGTGTGTGTGTGTATACACCACACATTCTTAATCTGCTCATCTGCAGATGGGTACTCAAGTTGTTTCCAACTTTTGATTATTATAATACTGTGATAACACGGAATTGCATCTTTCTCTTTAAATTGGTATTTTCATATTCAAATAATTACTGAATCATGTGGTAGTTCTTAGGAAATCATACCTGCTGATATAAAATATACCAGCATGAAAAGAAATGTTGTGAAGCAATATAAATGTATGCTTCTACTAACAGTTTCATAAAGCTGTTATAAAAGTACATACATGTAAGTGAGTGCACACAGAAAGGTCTGGGAGCAACTGACCAAGGCTATTTCTACAGAGGGAATACAATGACAGTGGAGAGATAATGGTTCTACAGCTGTATGTAAATACAGGTATGCAAGCTTCACATATTCAACCTAAATTTTTTATATTTGAATTTTTACAAGAACATATATGGACTTTTAAATAGGGAAAAATTGTTAAGGTCTCTTGATAGTTTGGTAGCATTTACTGCCTGAAAAGACTTCTCTTAAATTTTAGGTTAAAAGCTGGGCTCTCCCTGGTGGCACAACGGGTTAAAGCACCGCATTATGAAGCTTTCCAAGGCCACTGCAGCACCCCCAGCCAGGGAGCTGACCACATGGCGTGGCATGACCCACCCACTGTTCCCCTCAGCAGTGTATTTTGTCAATCTGCCTGTCCTGCTCCCCACTCTGCCTTTGGGGAAGCCTCTCACCCCCTGCACCTCTGGTCTGTACCCCAGGTCTAAAAAATTTTTTTAGGTTAAAAGAGTAAGTATATTTATAGCACCTAGAACAGTGGCTGAGACAGCAGGCATTCCATAACTGTAAGTCATCATCATTACTGCTATTGCCATTATGTGGAAAATGATACCTCTTTCATTCGGTTCGGCAGCAGAAAACATTGCCATGAAGCCATTCCCAGCTGTGTTGGCATCAGAAATCATTTGCACCATCATCTTGTTGCCACTGGACACAAGTGCTCCGGGTCGGAAGGTGCCACAGAAGCGCCCGATGCGCTGGCTGTTGGAGTGGCCATTGTACACATCCACAAAGTCATAGCGGCACAGATTGTCACTCTCCAGGTCTATAAACCGGAAATTAAGAACTACGACTTTTCCTGGGGGAACCTGCCAGAAATGGGACCAATTGGAAAACCATGTCAGGAAAAAAATGCCTGATGTCTTTACATCTAGTCCATTACTAAAGTAAACAATTCAAAGTCTAGTATTCAGGTTGATGTTTTTTCTTTCCCCAAGTTCAAACTAAGAAAAAATTTTCTATTGTTATGCATTCCTGACAAAATATAAATATTTATTCTCTTGTGATGAATCCTGAAGTTCTCTAGAGTATAGACCTTATGACCTTTCAAAATTGGATCACTTATTAATTCATAGGTCATTGCTTACAAAGCAATGACTGGCCCTTAGCAACATATTCTAAAACACCATCTCTCTCAGAGATAGTGCTTGAAAAAGAAGTACTTGAAATATCATTTTTTTTTTATATTTATTTATTGGGCCCTACCTGGTGGCACAACAGGTTAAAGTGCAGCACTGCAAGCTGGCAGCAGCTGCTTCAGTGTGAGTTTGATCCCTGGGGCCCCTGGAGGTGATCCACATGGGGCGGCAGACCTCTCCTGACCCTCCCGTTGCTCCCCTCAGAAGTGTACTTCGTTGATCTGTCTGTTCTGCTCCCCTCCTGTTTCTGGTGATTCTGCTCACCGCCCTCTGGCCTGTCCCCCAGTTCTTATATGCATAAATAAATCTTAAAAAAAAAAGGGATTCATTTATTTATGCATATTAGAGCTGGCGGACAGGCCAGAGGTGTTGGGGAGAGGGGATAAAAGAATTCACCAGAGACAGGGTGGGGAGCAGAAGAGACAGATCTACTGAAATACAATGCTGAGGGGAGCAGCAGAAGGGACAGGAGAGGTCTGCTGCACCATAGGTCACCTCCCTGACCGGGGATCGAACTTATGCTGCGGTGGCTGTGGATAGCTTCATAGTGCTGTGCTTTAACCACCAAGGAGGGCCCTGAAATGTCATTTCTCACAAAATAGGACAGTCTCGATACATGGAATGTTTCTATGAAGTTCAAACTGAAGGGATTATTTGGGAGCTAGGTAGTATAATAAATAATTCACTGTAGGTAATGAACTTTCCAGATCAACCATCTGTCCTGATTATATTAACTAGATAATGGTATGGAGCACATCTTGTTAAAATCACTGAGATTTTATTTGTTTCTTTCCCAGGTGCACATTTTTCATAATGAGCATCCTGAAACACAAATCCCTGCTTAATAAATAAGTTTTTACTTTCTCATAGGATTTTTTTCACCGTAATTTCCTCTATGTACTTCTTACGATGATTCCTTCCTTGTTTTCTGAATGGGTGGCAAGGGGAAACACTATAAAAGCATTTGGTAAGATTCTTACAAAAGCCCACTTTCTTTTTCCATCTTTTAATTTCCTCACTCAAATCATTTAGTCATAAAGTCTCCATCAGGTGTGTTTCACCTTTTCAACTAGTGGAGGTCCCTGTCGAACAGTTAAGAATTTTGTTTTATAAAAAACTTGCCAAATGAAGATTGGTGATAAAAACCGACCAACCACTGGTGCTGTATATTTATCTTAATTAACCACTTCAGACTCAAGGTTAATAGATGTCCTAAAACAAACATAGCTTCTCCATTTCTCCATGTTGGTAAATTACGTGCCATGATTTTTTTTTTTTTTTTTAACTTTTGTCAGAGCGCTGTTTGCTTTTTGTGGCAAACAAACCCATGGGAGAAAATGTGCAGGAGCTGTGACTGAGGCAGGAAGTCCTGACTTTGCCATGGCTGCTTTGGAGCTTATCTTAGTGGGGTGAAAATCAAGAGCTCCAAAGTCATGGGATAAGATTTGACAGCAGAAAATGCAATTTAATTTTAAAATTCTGGAGATACCTGCTATAGAAATTCCATTTTCTTGATTTCTGTGGCCGCATGCAATCTTTATATGGATCAGAAAATTATCAGAGTGGCACCTCACAGCCCTAACCTTAAATATAAATAATTTCTCTTAGAGATTTTGAATTCCTAGCGAAGGAAAAATCTTGGACTACATGAATTTGGACTGTCCTTGCATAAATAATTTGTACAACATACAGATAAATGATAGAGAGGACAGTTCAAAACTGTGAAAGGCATCCTCCAACAGAGTCAGTGGCAGTAAGGAAGGGATGAGTGTGGCCAAGGCACTCACTGTTACCGGGCAGAGTCTCTGGGGCCTTTAGATGACTGCAGCAAGGCCCGGCAGGGGAAGCATAATCTTCTTTCTTTGGAAAGTTCTCAGTTCTTTGACTCTTAGTTATATTGAAATAGCCCTGTATTTTGGATGTTGAAATGGAATACAGTCCTCAGATACTTGCTCCCAATAGAATAAATAATTGCTTCTCGAAACTTCTTCACTTGGTCCCATTGCAATGAAAAGTTTGAACTTCTCTGATAATGAGACACAAATAATGTTTAGCAGTAGAAACTGGGTTATATCACAGCAATTTGAACACATGTTGATCCCCATGTGAAGGGAAGATGCAGAAGCCATGTGCTCAGGCTGCAGGTCTACTATGCCCAGAGACAAATGCCATTTGGCTCTGAAGCCCAAAAGAAATTCTGTTTCAAGTGAGACATACAGCAGTGATCCCACTGCTGTAACACAACCATTGTTCTTCATTTAGAGGCCCAAGTGGTGGTCTGATGACCTTCACTGAGTTTTTAGGACCGTGGAAAGTCTACCCCTGAAGATGACCCTTGCATTTAAGAATTTATGGCCTACATTTTTAAATTTTAATTTATTAAAAATATTTTTTAAAACAGAAAATTCATGGAGTAATACAAATATCTAGGTACCAGCCATCCAGGACTAATTACTGTCAATTTTGTTGACATTTTTAAAATCTCCATTAATGAAATAAAAATAGCTCCCCACCCCCACCTCGGACCCTACTTGCTCCTCTTTTCACAGAAGCAGCTATGCATACATATGCATCCCTGAAAATACATAGATGTGTTTTTGTTTCTGTTTTAAAAGGGTAACAGAAGCAGGGTGTGTGTTATATGTTTCATTCTACCATCTGGAGTTGTTTGAATTTGCTGGGAGATGAAGATAAAGGGGGAGAGAAATAAAAATAAAACCAAAAACACACAGGGCCTTGAAAGCTACTCCTGCCTAGAACAATACTTTGCCACTTACACGCTTTTCTCACTCAGGCTGAAGGTCTCATTTCAAGCCCCCCCTGTTCTGAGCCTCTCCAGACCCTCCCTTACAGCTCTCCCCTTCCTGCTCCCAAAATGGGCTCTGCCCTCTTGGCAGTTCATCCAACCTGCGGGTTTCAGAACTTGGGATGGCTCAACCCACTTACATGTCATCTGTTTTCCTGGAAAGATGATGTTCAAGGAGGCAATGAATCCTCCTCATTACTGTCCCATCCCCAGCCTCTCGTATGTTAAGTGACCCCAAGTAGAAGTGTATCATAAAGATCTGTGAAATGGGCCCTCCCTGGTGGTGCAACAGGTGAAAGCTCAGCACTACAAAGCTAGGCTTTGCTGCCTCAGCAGGAATCAAGTTCGATTCCCAGCCAGTGAGGTGACCCACATAGTACAGCAGACCTCTCCTGCTGCTCCCCTCAGCAGTGTACTCGTCCATCTGCCTGTTCTGCTCTCCACTCTGTCTCTGGTGAATCTTCTCACCTCCCCTGCACCTCTGGCTCATACCTGGTTTTTATATATACATACATAAATTCTTTGAAAAAAAAAAAAGATTTGTTAAGTGAATGAATCAAGCAGGCTTTAAATGTAAAATCAGCTTCTCTGCACAAACCCTGGACAAAGCACCTCCCAGGTGGCTCCACCTCTCGCCTCTGACATCTCCTACCTTGTAGGCAGCAGAGGACTAACAGGCCGCTCTCCTTCCTAAGTCATTCATTAAAAAAGCAAGATCCATATTTTAGGGAAACTTTGTATTTCAAGTCTCCTATAAATGCTCATACTTAATGCAGAAATTCAGTTAAGATTTTCTTTTGTGGCAATAAACAAAGCTACTGTTTTATGAGACTGTATTGACTAGGGAATTTATTATCTGTCTGTAGCAAAACAATTCTAGGTTCCTGTTTTTTTCCTAACAACAGCTGAGTGCTGTGTGGGCCAAAGCCCAGTGTTGTGACAATGACCTCAGCTCACCCCAAGGCTCCTGGGATGTCCTTACTGTCACCGGCAAGCGTGCCAAGTCTCTGGATGCCAGGCAGGGTTGCAGCCAGAAAATGAACAAGATCTGTGCTTTAAACTGAGGTTTTACATTTTCAGAATACTACGTGCAAATGCAAATATAAGGCCATCTCCTTTGTATGGAGAAGTACATTTGCATAGAATTGACACTCCAAGTTCGCAGCTTTTCTTCCCTCAACACATTATTTACTAAATGGAGCAAAAAAAATCTGCTTCTACAGAAACATATCTGATTTTTTAAAAAGACATCCTTTTAATCTTCTAAGATTTTTCTCTTCCACAAACACACCTTCAGGAAAGTATATTCTAAAATGCAGGGCACATTTATTTACTTAAAGTTTAAGAGGCCCCTAAATGTGATTCAGAGATATGCATGAATGATGTACAGATATTTGGCTATATTCCAAGAGGGGGCTAAATCAGCAGTTTACAAGATAATATTCATATATGTTATATGCATATTTAAATACTCTTTTAAGACCTTATAAATGTTTAGAAAATTACATATTCAAATTAGAAGTAATGAGCTTTTTTTTTTGGAAGGGGGGTAGAGACTTGGGGATTTCACTCAAAAAGGGAAAGAAGAAAAAAACCTCAACTTCTAGAAGGAGAGAGGAAACCCCAAACACCTTAAATCCAGTCCAATGGAACAGGTAGAGATGGGAGGACATTCCTCTGGTGAAAACAGCCCAAATATTTCCCACTACATGGAGAATAAAATCTTCACATTGTCTATAGTCACACACTTAGGTAGTGTAATCAAATGGCAGTTATTTTTCAAAACAGTTTACTCACATTATTTCTTTTAATCCCTTACAGTGACTGTAGAAGTTGATTAGCTTAGTTTTACAGTTTAAGGTGA